GAGGCTTGTAGAGTGTTCCTTGAGGGTGGGGGGAAAAAGAAGCAAAAAAGCCCATTTTTTGCCCCCACCCCCACCCATCCCCCAGCAGCACTCTATAAGCTTCCTAAAGGTTATCCATGCCCCTTTTTGTCCAAAAAAAGGCCATTTTTGCAAAAAATGGGCTTTTTTGCTTCTTTTTCCCCCCACCCTCAAGGAACACTCTACAAGCCTCCCAAAGGCAATGCCTGGCCTTTTTTTGAAAAGAACAGAGCCATTTTCGTGAAAAACCGGCTGTTTGGGGGAGGTTTTCAGAGTGCAAAAACTTTTTAAAAAATATTTCCTCTTCAAAACCTTGCTGCATCTTATACTCCGGTATGTCTTATACTCTGAAAAATACGGTAATTTGAACCTAGTTGTTGTAGGATGCAGCCACAATTCAGTTAGTGAAGCTAGCATTCTGGTTTAACAAACCTACATTAAATTATGTCTTAGCATTAAACATTAAACTACGGCTTAGCACAGTGAGTGAGCCTAACTAATGTGTTGTGTGATTGATTTTTCTTTTTCGGTTTTGAATCTACTAGCCTTCAGTGCCATGGTATGTTTTGTTGTATAAAAAATTAAATGAAGGTGAAACATGTTTGAATTTCAAATTAGAAGACTGAAAGTAGGGTGTTTTATTTTTTTATACTATTTTATTTTATTTTTATACAATTTTGAGATATTTTGATCCTTTCAAAACTCTCAGTTGATATGTATGCATTAATCAAATTTATATAGCTGTCCATCTCATGAGAAGTGATTTTGGGTGGCATACAATAATTGGTAGATAATGTATTCCTTCTCAATTTATACGTAGGTTAGAAGAATTGAATTTAGGCTGGTGTGACTTCACAGCTGAGCATTTGAAGATAGTAGTCAGTCATGTTCCTCCCAAACTATTGCAACTGAACCTTAGTGGATACAGGCAGAATCTCCTGATCCCAGGTGAGTTTTGTTTTGAAACAGTTTTTCCAGGTAACCTACCATTCCTCAAGTGATAATTGGAGGGGAGAGGTTGTTTTCCATTGTAAGTGAACAGTAGTTCGGTTACATACCCAATTTTCTCCTTAAAATGTTAAAGCCACCTGGTAAAGAAATCTTAATATGCTTTTTGTACTGTGGTTTCTTGGTTCCACCACAAAAGCGCGTAGGACAAAATCGCGCTCGACAAAAGTGCGCTGTGACGTCATCACAACGCGACGAAAAAGATCGAAAAATTCAAATAAAAATTAATAAAAATTAAATTAAAGCAAGCCGATTCGCATAAAGGTAAGGGAGGTAATGGAACAACAAAATCAAAGCATAGTGCAAAAAGTTGATAA